TCCCTAATCATTCTTGACATTCTTGGCTGGAGAGCTGGATTTTCTCTTTGGCCCTTCAACTAGGAGTCATTCCATTCCTTCTGCAGAAAGGAATCGCTTGTTCCCGGATGGTAACAGTTGGCTGCACCCCTCATTTTAATGTCCACACGCACAGGCCAAAGAATACCACTGCTCAGACAGGGTGGGTGGAGGCCAAGTCCTAGCCCAGCACCAGCTCCTGCTACCTGTGCACCTGTGGCAAATACAGTCAGGAGGGAGAGCCTCAGGCCCTGTCAGGGAAGGACCTCCTGAAATGACTGTATGGAGGCTCCTAGCCCACACAGCCAGAGCAAGGCCTCACCCCCTTGGCATCCACAGAAACCTTGGAGACTCTGAACAAGCTGCTCCACTGGGTCTTCAGAGCTTTGGGTTTGGAGCCTTGCAGCCAATGTCCAGCAAAGACTTTTCATTTTCTTTTGGTCCTGGTACTTGGAATGAGATCCAGAAATCTGAATAAAAAGTGGTTGGGAAGTTGGGGCAGCTGGTGGGTGATGGTAAAGGCGGATAGATCCCATATGGCTGACTGTGCAGTTGGAGTGCTGAATCCGGGGGAGAAAAAAATAGTTGAGGAGCAATAGAGGATGAGAAGGAAGCATCTCCGAGAACTTTTTAAAAGTCAGCTTTTCCCTCGTCTCTGCTTCCAGCAGTTTCTGGGGTCGCATAGCTCCCTTTAACTCGCCTGCAAAGGCTTTTTTGACGGTGCGGCGTGCCCCCGTTGGAGCAAGGCATTGACTCGAGGGGCCTGTCATTTGTGTTGGTCCAGGTGAGGAACAGGAACCTTCACAGGCCTGTCGGGGGGCCTCCCTCCCCCTTTCCGAGAAGGCCGCTCTGTCTAGCAGCGCCTCACTGTCTCCCCGAGCTGAGTTTGCCGGAGTTGGTCTCACGTCCTGGGAACACTGGTGCGTCTGTGCAAGAAACGGGCGGCTCCGCAGGCGAGGAGAGCGGCTGTGTCCCGAAGGAGGCGTGTTCCGGACGGAGGGGGGAGGAACACGTAATGGCTGGGGCGCGGGGCGGGAAGACGGGGAGGGGGCGCGTCTGGGGCGTGTGCGCCCAAGGCCAAGGGCACCCGGGGACTGCTGGCTCCGGGCGCAGAGCTGGGGCCGAGCCCGGCGAGCCGGAGAGACGCCTCGTCCGATTCAGGAAGTTGTCTCTGACATCAGGGGCAGGACTGAGTGGGAGTGAAACCTCAAGTATGCTAGGCGTCGGCCGGCGGAGCGCAGGGAGCTCAGGGCGCGCGGTCCTCGGGCGGCAGGCGCTGCAGGTACGCGGCGGGTGCGGGCCGCACCTCTGAGCCCAGGGCCTCCGCTCCGCACGCGCTCGGCCAGACGGCGGGGGCGCCAGCCGGGTGGCACTGTCAGACTGGGCAGTCCGGCTGACCCGGGCCACCCCGCCTGCAGGGAGTCCGCCCGCAGGCTGAAAGGTGAGTTTCAAGACTTGTTATTACTGCGTTTTTTAACGAGACATTTTCAGCTGCCCTCTGGATGCGGACTTCCCACTCAGTCTTTTTCTTTAGAAGGGTAATACCACCCCAGAGATCAGTGAGATGAAAGGACTGTGTCTAAATCTCCTCTTGACCCTTCAAAACTTTAGTTCTGGTTCGTTTCCCTCCTCAGCCGCCTTCCTTCCATCTGCTCCGGGGCTGAGTCCGCATGAGTTCCTGGGGCTGGGGTGGAGTTCTCCTATTTGGGTTGACAACGGCTGCCTGTAGGAGCAGCTAGAAGGGGACAGATGGATATTCTGTTTGCTACTGAGAAAGCCAAGGGCTGAGAAACCCTCCAGAAAGCATTAGGGGCTTAGAAGTCTCTAAATCACCCTAGGTGACACCAACTTTTGTGTGGGACTTAGAAACTGGCCAGAAGGAAAACGTGACCTGGATCTCAGGGACGGAGTGGGAACCTACCTGAGTTCTCAGGCTCCAGGGAATTCTGTGACAGATTGCTTCCCAACTTCTTTGTCTGAATGGTTCCACTCCAAGACCCCCATCCCACCCAAGAGGTAAGAATGGAAGGGGCCATAAGAGGCCCTGTTTTCCTAGCATTTGAAGAGCTTAATGGGAATACATTATGTAAGAATGGAGGAAAGTAAACTGTGGGCTTAGCTAGGAGGAACACCAGTCCTGCCTAACCAAATGGGAAGCTAATTGAACAGAGAATTCTGACAGCCAGCACGCTCAGTACCTGGCAGGGCTGCTCCACTGATTCTGTTGAATGAGGAAAAGGAGAGAAAGTGCCTTGAGCATCTCGGAAGCAACTCCTTTTCAAAGTTGGTGCTTTTTATTCACTCAGCCACAGCTCATAAGAACCTGAAGCTGATTTTAAGAAACCCTTATTCTGGAAGGGACCAGCAGTTAGTGTAATGGGTATGTTGTTGGACTCCCATGTAGTCTACCACAGTTCACGTCCCAGACCCAGTGGCTTAAAACTCACACAGGGGAGAAGGGATTGCAGCGTGGCCATCCCCGCTGAGGGGTGATTTCTCGCTTTCTGTCTCTCTCTCTCTCTGTCTGGCAAGCGCACACACCCTATGGTAAAAAAAACTCTCTCTCAAAAAAAAAAAAAAAGACAAGAAACCCTTATTCTGAAGTCCTGGTAGATAATGAGAAAGCCTTGAGCAGGACTTGAAAAATAGCATCACGGTGTCCTACTCCTAACCCTTTTTCAAATGGTTTGCAGGTTCTACCTCAAGAATTCCGCGTCCGGGAAACGCCACCCCCCCAAGGGAAAAAAAACCCCCCAAAAAAAAAAAAAAAAAAAAGACAAGAAACCCTTATTCTGAAGTCCTGGTAGATAATGAGAAAGCCTTGAGCAGGACTTGAAAAATAGCATCACGGTGTCCTACTCCTAACCCTTTTTCAAATGGTTTGCAGGTTCTACCTCAAGAATTCCGCAAGGGTCTGACTAGCCTCTGAGCTGATTCAGTTCAGCCACCCACTTGGTCTGATGGGCCTGCGCTTCCCTTCGTGCTGGGCTAGGGAGGTATAGGAGGAAAATCTGATCAAGTCCTTCTTTTGCTTTAAAATTCAGCCTCCCCATCCTCACTTGAGATACAATTTTAGGAAAGAGACATATTGAAAAACAGAGGTTTCTCAAGCCTCCCTACATTGCTAATATTTAACCTCTGGATGAAAAGAGAATGACTACTGACCTTTTCCCCAAGGCTAAACCCAAGAGAATAGTGAGCATGAAACAAACTAAATTAGTCATTGATTCATCGAAGAGGATGGTACATCCATCCCATCCATTCATTTAACATTTACTGTACCTACCCAGTCCAGTACTGGGCAGTATGTCAGGTCCTTGGAGTCCAAAGATAATGAGATAGTTTCTGATCTGGGGGACTCTTGGTCTGGTAAATGAATCAGATACCAAAGTACAGTTCCGAATAATATGGAGTCATGCATCCCTTAATTATGGGGATATGTCCTGAGAAATGCGTCATTTGGTGTTTTCATTGGATGAACATCATAGAGTGTACTTGCACAAACCAAAATGGTGCAGCCTACTACACACCTGGGCTACAAGGTATAATCTTATGTGAGCCCACTATATATGTAGTCCGTCAATGTGCGAAACATTGTTATGAGGCACATGATGATACATCATAATACTGGGAGCTGCAGGGCACTGAAACGACCCAAAGGAGGGAGCCCGAATTCCTCCCCCAGGGATTATTTGGAAAGTGAACACTGCAGAAGCAATGGATTCAGGCAAGCTAAGGGTCAGGGTAGATTGTGATGCAAGGACACAATTGGGGATCCTGTCTCTGTCTCTGTCCCTCTTCTGGGAAAAAAAAAAAAAAAAAAGAAACAACTGAATAAATTAACTTTCAAAAAAGCAGTGCTGCTGAAGACATCTAAAGAGGCCTGTGAGAACACTATCAGTGAAACCACGTTGACGTGGAAAGGTTTTGGATTTGTCAGTCGTGGCCCATAGTTACTATTTTCATATCGTATGGTGACTTCCAATGACTCTCTCCAGACGGAAGGCTTTCCCAGGATGCCTTGCACAACAGTGCCTAAACTGGTACAGAGAATTCTTGGTTACTGGAACGTAGGTAGAGAAAATGCATTTAATTCAACAAGTGAATTTCCCAGGAATCATTCCCCCTTGTGAAAAGTGGATATTTAGTACAGCTCTAAGATTTGCCAAGACCTCTTCAGTTGCCACACCTGTGTGGGAGAGTCCTGCCTTCATAAAAACCAGGAGGATAACTTGCTGAAATGAATCTGAGACCCTTAGAATAGTTCTTTAGGTCTGGCTGCTAATGCCCAGCTCATCTTGTACAATCTACATGGAAGGATAAACCCTTGAACTTGGAGCTAGACAAACATGGGTTCAGTTCTTGACTTAACCACTTATTAGCTCACCTTGAACAAGTTGTTGAGTCTCTCAACTTCATTTTCCTTATTTTTAAAATGAAAATAATTATTACTCACCAGGGCAATGTTTAGAATCAGAGTCAAATTTTAAAAGTACATTTAATCTGCTACATAAATTGAAAGCTTATATATAGAAAGATGTAAGGGATTTTATTTTTGTTACTAAACTTGCCTTATGAAGCTACCAAAATCAGATGGGACTGTGAGGGTGTAGGACCTGGGCAGCATTTTGGGCCCAAACTCGCACCTTTTTTCCTCTCTCTCTCTCTCTCTCTCTCTGTTTTTTGTTGTTGTTTTTTTGTTTTTTGTTTTTTAAGAGAGATTTCTGCTATAGGGTATGAGCACTCACCAGAGAGACAGAAAGAAACAGAAAGCAAGAAGTCACCCCCTGGGGAGTAGCCATGCCTTAATCCCTTCTCTTCCAGTTTCCTCTCAGGATCTTGCGCACTCATGAACACATGCCTAGAGTGAGTTTCGAGCCTCCGGTCTAGGACTCACACAGCAGAGTGAGTCCATGTGGGAGTCCAGCAATGTAACCATTATGCCATCTGCTGGTCCCAACTTGCACCCTTTTAATCATATGAAATATTTGAAGGCAGTAATTAAAAGTCTCCTTCCATCATCAATGATGTGCATCTCCTCTAGCCTCTTCCTCTTTCACTCCTTAGCTGGAGTGGTCAGAGCCTAAGGAAGTCAATGCTCAGCTAATGTTTATGCGGTTGTATATTACACAAGGACTCCCAGGAGCAGGATTATTCTATTTGGTAGGCCACAGACCCACCTCACTTGTAGAGGGGGATGGGAAAAATATCTTTTTCTGTCCTCACCCAAGTACCGATTAAACCACAATGGCACTGAATCTGAGCATCGGCTGATGGCTTGGATGTATTTGTAGTTTTCCCCTGCTTCGACTAGGAGAGCCTGACCTATTCCAACCCAGTAAAGCTTGAATTTTATGCCAACATCAAATATTTCAAGTAAACAGAGTTCTAACAGGGGCCAACTGTTGATGAAGAAGGGGAAGTAACCACAGATTCAGAGACTTCAAATGAAAAAAACACTTTAGAGATGAACCAACTCCACCCCCTCACTTCACAGATGAGCAAACTGAAATTCAAGGAGGAGAAGTGTGTGCCAGGGTCACATAGTTGTTTAATGGAGGGACCAGAATTCAAGTTCTCTCTATTTAGGAGTAGCCCACACAGCCTAGGGTTTCTATCACCCGGACCTTCTGTAGTTCATATACTATACATACAGGTATACAATATTGGCAGGGAGGCAAAATGAACATTGTATTTGAAAGCTGAACCTTTCCTGGATGGTCTCCAAGCAAACCAGGAGCAGATCCTCAAGAGAGCTCATCATGAAGGCAATCTCCACACCACTCCTATCTCTTCTGCTTTCTCCACTTCAATCCTTAAACTTTCTTCACAGGCGCCTGAGGAAGGGAAAGCTCATCATGAAGGCAATCTCCACACCACTCCTATCTCTTCTGCTTTCTCCACTTCAATCCTTAAACTTTTTTCAATTCTTAAACTTTCTTCACAGGCCCCTGAAGAAGGGAAATCACACTGGGAGCCTTAATAAACTAAAACTCTTTTAGCATTTCATCAGACTTGTCAAGAAGAGACATAAGAATGTGCTGGAACCCTGTGGATGCATTGGCATTCTACACCAAATATCCACATGTCATTTGCCATTCAATAAAAAAGGCTTCAGAGAGTAAGAGGAGCTCATGAGACTCAATGCAGACACAACAACAAAAAAGAAAGATAGTGGCAAGATAGACTTGTTCCTTCTCTAAAAAGCAAAAGAAAGATCTGCAGCAAATTCTTTGAATGGCAGTCCCCAGAGCTACAGCACAGGTCAGATTTCTAGACTTTTCCCCCACATTGGTCTGAGCTGTTGGATCAGAGCATCAACTGGAGCCATGAATGGACATTTAGCATAAACCAAGGAACAATAAGTAAGTTCTAAAATGAGCCTCCCACAAACACAAAATTCCTTTCTCAGGGGCAACTCCCAAAGGACCCTGGCAGTGT